TTACTGATACTACCTTTCTAACCATAACTTTATAAATATTGATAAAATATATTTCAAATCTGAAAGTTTGAGAATATCATTGGAATTCTCTTAATTATTCATAAGTACTTATTAGCATTGTAGTTATTGTGAAACTGTCAAGGTATAACCAAATAGATAGTGTTGAACAAATATTAGCAAGGCAAGGTGAAACTTTGGTATTGTACATGCCAATTCTCCTAATTATTAGCAATAATAATAATGCCACAATGTTATGTCTTCTCTCTGTCTGTCTATAATACCTTTGCTACTATTTCCAGGCTGTAAATGAAAAATGGCTTGAAACTTCACAGTGGGAGAATTTTTGAGGGCTTTCTTACATGCCTTGAATGGAAAACGCTTTCATCTCTTTATTTAAAAAAAAAAATGTGTGGTGCCTGAATTCATGTTCTCATGGCAACACATTGTGAGAGAAAAGGCTGCACCAAAATAGTATAAAACATCTGGAGGTACTAGTTCAAAGGGGTCAGTGTTTGACCACTGGCCAATGGGGGAGATATATATAGATATATATATATATATTAGATTCCATGCATTCAATTGGTATCTTTGCTCCCTTACTTTGCTCCTTTACTCATGCCTCTCTGCTGGAATTACATATTGCTGAATTTCTTACTGCTACTTTCATGACTATGAAACCTCTGTTCACCTACCCATTCAGCATGCTTCACATTTCTTTCAAGTATATCTTTGAAGCTTATTAAAGCTACTTCTCTAACTGGTTCTTTCATTCTCTCTTTTAACAGCTTCCAAAGCTGCAGGGTCTGACCTTGCTTTTCTGATTACTCTAAAATGGTGCCTGCAGATAAAAGACATTCAAGTAACTATTTCTAGCTTAATGATTCTCAAATTATTCATATGGCCAGACTCAGGACTTCTGTAGAAACTGAGCACACAGATGGCTAAAAGCCAAATAAGTGAGGAAACTCAAAGCAATTTGGTTGTTTCCGATGGATATGACTAATGTGTTCTGATCTTGGAAAGCCATGCTCTTATGGCTATTGGAGGTGGTTTATGTATTAGCTTCCTTGTAAGTGTGACAAATATGTGATGCTTACAACTTAAAGAGGAGAGGTTTGTTTGCTTCATGATTTCAGAGGGTTCAATCCATGGTCAGCTGCTTGCAAAGCAGAAATGGGATGCCAGAAGATTCTAGCAGAGGGAAGCTCTCAACCCATTGCATCCAAAAAGCAGAGATCATAAATGAAGGGGCTGTGTATAAGAATACACCCTTGCAGGTCATACCACCAGTAACCCACTTCTTCCAACCAAGACCCACCACCAACCAGTACATTTAACTATGAACTCATAGTTCCCCCATGATTCAATCGCCTTCCAAAAACATCACAAACACAGGAGACTTGGGAAACATTTTATCCTTAAACCATAACAATTGACTTTTATTCAGTGCTCTGAAACTATAACTGGGAGGCTTAGTGACTTTAGCTTCTGGTAAATGACAGACTAGGCAAATTAGAACAATCCTCTCACTGGGAGCAATTAGAATCATTGGAAATAAAGCCTGCTTTATGATAATGGATTGATAACAAGACTGTGAAGAATTTCCAGATCAAAAGATCTAGGAAAAAAATGAAAGCCAGGGACAGGAATATTATTTAAGGCAGATTTTCTTTTAAAGATCAAGAGAGAGAGAGACAGACAGAGAGAGAGAGAGAGAGAGAGAGAGAGAGAGAGGCCAAGCAGTACATCTGACAGCATCAGGATCAGGGGCTTGGTAGGGATAAAAACTGATCTGCAAACTTGCCAAGAATAAAGAGCCACACTTTGGATTAGAAGAAGTAGACAAACTTTCTCTGTAAAAGATTAGAGGGCAAATATTTTTGACTTGGCAAGTAATATAACCTCTGTAGCAACTGCTCAACTCTGTAATTATGCTATGAAATTAGTTATAGGTAATTCATAAATGGAAGTGATTGTGTTGCAATAAAATTTTATAACAAAACTACATTTTTTCTTAACGCTGTATACTGGCATAATTATTATATCTTTAAATAGGTGGTTTAATATGTATGTCTTATGAACTTTCACAAATGGAATGATTTATTGTCTTTTTGTCACTTCCATTTCCAGGCAATATTATCATTATAGGCCTACTCATGCTCTAACAAGTACCCGTGATTCACTTACTTTATATTATGTATTGATATAATGATCATTTGATAACTTAGTTGTTTACTATTTACCCGTACTTTTGCTGACGGATCTTTCTCTTTTTCCCTTTCAGTCTCTCTCTCAGTCTCTCTCTCTCTCTCTCTCTCTCTCTCTCTCTCTCTCTCTCTCTCTCTCTCTCTCTTTCTCTCTACATTTCTCTTTCCCTTTCCATTTTCCTCCCTTCCTTTTCATTCTCTTTCATATTTTATTTAAAATAATGGATATTTTATCTAAGAGGCTATATTATTGGTTTGTGTATTTACTATAGTATATTGTATTTATTTATACAAAACTTTACTGAAAACAAGGTACTATCTTACACAGGCAGTAGCCTCATGCATCTTGTATTACAATTTCTCTTCTTTGCTTCAAAAGACTACAACAAATGATTGATGTAGGCCATTTAGAAGTCTACTAAGATGTTTGTAGGATAGAATTACCTAATGATCCCATTATTGGAAAATATTCTTGCCTTTAAAGGGTGCATGGCTGTATTTTCCTTTCTGCCTCATGCTTTGTGCTTTCACTGTCATGTGTTAAAACTGTATAGTTGATATGCCTATAATAGTTTTAGTCATTACTTTATATCACCTTATTTTTTCCAAGAAAGTAGAATAACCTGTGAACAATATATTTTACATGGCTTTTTATCATTCATGTACTTTAACTTTTTTCATTTTCTTCATTATTTCTTGTGGAATAATTATCACTGAACATCACTTCCTTGCAACCAAATAACTTTTTCAAATATTTTTAGTGTTAGTCTCCAGATAATGACATCTTTACTGATCTAAGAAAGTTTATTTGGCCTTCATTATTAAAGCATAATTTTGCTAGTTATAGAATTCTTGATTGACAATTTTTTTTTCCTTTCTGAACTGTATGACACTCTACTGCCTTATGATCACCATTGTTTCTGATGAAAAGTCAGTAATTCGTCATCTCTTTTTCTAACTATGTGATGAGTCATTTTTTCCTGCTCCTTTCAAGATGAACTTATCTTTGGCTTTCAACAGTTTGACTGTGATTTATCTAGTTGTAGATATTATCTAGTTTATTCTGCTTAGGATACACTGTGCTTCTGAGCGTAGTCATCCCACTCTATGAGGGTCTGGCTCCATGACTGTCTTCTACTGAACTATAATCTGCGGGTACCCAAGTCCCTTACATGAAATTAACAGTAATTGCATATAACCTTTCAAAAACCTCCTGTATACTGTAAATCATTTCTAAATTACCAACACCATTTAAGAAAATAGAGAAGATATGTAAGCAATTATTATACTATATTATATAGAGAAAAACAGCAAAAATAGTGCACCTATGCATCATAGAGAAATTCTTGTTTAATTTTCTTACATTTCTGTTGGTTGAATCCACAGAGAAGGAAAATGTAGATAGAAAGGGCCAACTGTACTAAAGATTACTATGTTTTATAAAACTTAGAAATTTTAAAATTATTTATGAAATGCTTTTGTCCCTTTTTATCTCCCCTTTATTTCTGAAACTCCAATTGGATGTTTGTTAGTATACTTGAGTTCGTTCTACTGATCTTTGAGACTTTGTTACTCTTCCTTCAATTTTTAAATATATTTTCTTCATATGGAATACTTGCTGTTAATCAATCTTAAAATTCATTAATCCTGCCATTTCAAAGGTGCTGTTTATCTTTCATGGAGAATTTTTCATTTTACTTGTTACATTTTTCAACCACCAAAGTTCCACTTATAAATTTTGTCTCTTCTTCTGAAATTTTTTTGAATGTGTTGAGTTATGGTGCTTATATTTCTTTTTAAATTGGTTTTCTTTCTTTCATTAATATGTTTATAATATGTGTTTTGGATATTTCTCTGTAAAAGTCAATATTTCAGAAGACTCTGAGGTTGTTTCTCTTCTGTCTTTATCCTCAGTATAGATCATATTTCCTACTTCTTGAATGTACTGCAATATTAAACATTTTAGATAATGTATGGTAGCAATAGTGTATTTTTCCTCAATACTTCTCTAAATACTCTTGTTGTCATTTCATTTTATAGTAACTTGCCTGGATAAAACTTTTTCTGTCTGTATCCTCCATGATGTATGTCTGCTATTACCCTTTGTTCATATTCTTTTAAAACTGTTCATAGGTTAAAAACTGGCTCCCTAGTGATTGCTAACAAACTTTTGTTTTTAGCCAAAGATCAGTCTGAAGTTGAACTAAAATCCTCAATTCATTAAGGCTTTTACTCTATAATAGACTGATTTTAGGGTGGAGAGTGAATGCAAGTTTCAAGTCATTTCGATCCTTCCTTGGCTGGATGGATTCTCTTGTTTACTTTCCACTAGTTTAGGCTGTGTCAGTCATGGAAATGTAAGTGACTTGGGTTCTGAGATAGATTCCATCCATCCCAGGTAATGTGACAATTTTATATGGTCCCCTGGGATTGTCTTACCCTCATAAGCCATTGTCAAATGTTTGGTTAGTTCTATAGAGTGTTTATTGCTCCAAAAGTAGCAGCAACTGCCCATCCTGTTCACTTGTCACTGGAATTATCACTCTAATACTAATCATTTAAATTATCACTAGCAGTGCTTTTAGCCAAATCTACCACCACCCGACAAAGACAATGAAGTTTATTTTTCCTAATCTATTTTCTTCTAATGGTAAAAACCACACAGACTGAGCTTGTGGGGGAGAAAAGCAGTCCCACTCAAGAATGTTAGGTCCTCTTTAATCTTTTTAGGTAAATTAAATAGTTTTGATGAATAAATAATTAACCAGTATATTGTAAACCTTAGGTGGAATAATTAAGTTTTAAAATGGTTGTTCTGATGACTTCATTTCATTTTATTGTTGCCTTTTTGGGAGCACCTTGAACCATTTTACTCCATTATGCTAGAGATCAGAAGTACTTCAGAGTCTCATTTCATCCTTTTTGTCATGGTGTGTTCAATATTTTTGGCCTACAGGATACAAAAATCAAATCAACATCAGAAACAAATAATAAATAAATAACATTTCTATACATTTTTAATAAAGGAGCTGAGAAAGAAATCAGGAAAACAATACTATTAACAATAGCTTCAAAAAATATGAAATACATAGCAATCAACTTAACCAAGAAGGTTAAAAATCCTCTAGGAGATGAAAGACCTCCCATATTCATGGGAGAGCAGAATTAAAATTGTTAAAATGGTTAAAATAGTTCTATTACCAGAAGTACATACAAAATGCATTCTTATTAGAATACAAACAACATTTTCCCAAAACTGAACTAAAATATGAACTAAAATTCATATGGCTAAATTTCAATGAGGCCAGGATTATTATACCCTTTCCTGAAACTGGTCTATTTTTTGGAACGTAACTGATTAAATAAATTAAAATTATACAAATAAAACAGTAGAGTGATTTATCCATGGTTTATTATAATATATTATCTATTCTTTTATTAATGAACACAAGTTGTTTCCACTTTTGGACTTTTTATAAATAAAGTAATGAAAACTTATAAATAAAGTAATGAAAACATTCTTGTACAGGTAAAAACTTATTAACACTTCTATGTTGCTTTTACTTTGCTATTATATTTTTTCTTTGCTTTTGTTTTATGAAAGTCTCTGTAGAGTACATAGAGCTATATTATCTTATTTAGTCTGTCAATCTATATATAAATGATATGTTTTAATGTATTTTTGTCATTATGACAATTGGAATATTTGCATTTTTTTTCAGTTTCCCATAATTTTTCTTTTAACTTTTTTTTTTATTGGAACATATTAGGTATACAATACAGTTGCATTCATCAGTGGGATCTTGCAACTTTACATAATATATCTTGGTTCTTATTATTTCCCCATCCCCCTGCCTTCTCTTTATCCCCTCATCCTTCCGTATTTACAAAGGCTGTTTCCATATTTTTCCTTTTCTCTTATTTTTTTCTTGCCCTTCTTACCTTTCCCCTACCCCTCCCACTTCCGCTACACCGTTAGACCTTTTTTCGTATTACACAATATCAATTATACATTTTGATTATTATTCACACTTTTAGTTTATCACACCAGAGAAAGTATTTGGTATTTACACATGTGTGTCCTATTAATTTCACTTAAGAGTATGTCCTCAATGTGCATCCACTTAGCTATAAATGTCTCTAGTTTCTCATTCTTTATGGCTGAGTAGTACTCCATTTTATTTTTTAAAAAACATGTATCTTCTTTATCCAGTCTCTAGTTGATGGGCAATTAGGCTGTTTCCAAGTGTTAGCCATTACAAACAATGCCTTTATAAACATGGTTGAGCACATATAACTGTGGTATGATTCTTTTAACTTTCTGAGAATTTATTTCCTCTTTCTTCATTGAAAATTTAAATCCTTTACATTCCTCAAGTAGTTTTAAATTAAAACGTAAATAACTTTTTAAAATAATATTTTTACATTCCTTTCAAACTAGGATGTTAGAGTTTCAACTACATATGCTGCCTTCTATTATTTAGCTTGCGTTATTTTAGATACATATGAATTAGACATTCAAATACATATTTTCTGTATTTTTGTAGCCCCATAAATTAGACATTATACATATTCTTCTATAGTGTCAAAGCTTGTTATCATTTGCCCATGATTTTCTTTGCTCACAATTCCTTTTGCATCATAGAGTAGCTTTGGGATTATTTTCCTTTATTCTGAAGTCCTTTTAATGAAGTTGTCTGGGTAGAAACTCATTTTTGTATTTCTGACATCTTTCTTTCATCCTCTTTAAACAACCTTAGATTTCTTTTAACACTTTTATGATGTTACAGACAATGTTTGAGTTCTATTTTTGCTTTTAAAGATTGGTTGGCTGTCATTTCTACTTTTAGACAATCCCTTGTTTTACTTGCTATAGAAACTCTAATTTCATACATATTCACTATTTTTTGTTTACATGTGGGTTTCTTTCTTGAGATTTCTCATGGTTTCTTCATATGAGGTTTTGTTAGACAAGCATTATTGCTGTTTTTCTACATTTTCTTGCCACATTGATCATAGTTTTCTGATTAGATATATTTTAAAAATTTCACTCTATCTCCAATATCCCTTAAGTTCTTTCATGCTTTTTAAAAATTTAAATATTTACTTTCAAAACACTGGAGGATGCTTCACTTAGAAACAGTTTACAAGATTAACAAATATAATAAATAAGCAATACTGGTGTGAATAAACTATAATAGTACATAAGATCCTAATGAGATAACTGACATTGTGAAATGGAAAGAAAAGGGCTCATGGAGCAGGGAAGGTATGGGATGGGTAGGGGAAGGGTAATAAGGGAAAAGAAAAAATGTGATAAAATGAAAAGACGGAAATAAAGTGTTTGTAAATGGGGAAGGGAGGAGGGGGTGAAGGCAGGGCAGGGACAAGGGGAAAAACTGAGAACCAAGACCAGTCATGTAGAGGTACAAGATCCCAGTAATGAATGTAACTGTACTGCATACCTAAAATGTACCAATAAACTCAATTTTTAAAAAAAGAAAAACAAATAAGCAACACAGTTTGTATCTATGATACAGTTGTTTTATAAGGTTTTGAATAATCAATCTATAAACTTGTTGCTTCTACTTTTACAAAAATATTGATTTAATTCATGATATGAATTGCAAAATTATTTTCAGAGCTCTACAAATTATCAACTGTAATTGAGTTTTAGTTACATAGCAGGCAAAATATTTAACTGAACATTCCTTCCAAATACAATGCATTAAAAATAATTGTTAAAGTATAGTTTTTGTTCTTTATAATTATCAGGATCATGTGTTCATTTTTGAGCAGGTATTTCAATGAGCATTTTACAGTTCATATGAAAATAACCCTAGTATAGGATAATTTCTATCCATACAAAGGTAAGTTAGACTGGACAGTTGATTTTCATTTATATTTATGGTACTATTAAGTGGGTAATACATTTTTCTTTTAAGCCTAGTATGTGTGTGTGTGTGTGTGTGTGTGTAATGGGGATTATATATCAGTAGTTGTAGAACTGTTGATATTAATTACTTTCGATAGTTAATGTTTTATTGTTTGGATTTGACTTTTTGCACAAGGCGTTTTTAAAGAATCTGAATATTTGCCAAATATTAGAAGATGTTCTGCAAATAATAAATACAGTTTAATTGAAGTGGACATTTCAACCCTTTTCTCTTGAAGACGCTTGAAAAAGTTGTGTGCCATGTGTCAAGGAAATTATCTTCATTGGTGCCTATCATGCTTATGTTTTTTAGACACTGTAGTTTATAAAATCACTTACCTTTTAGGTATCTCATATAAGGAAAATCGTGTGACATTTAACTTTCTAGGCCTGACTTATTGCACTTGAACTTACAGTCTCAAGTTCCTCTTTACAAAGGATATGATTTTCATTCTTTCTTATAGCTAAATAATATTTCATTATGTGTATATATCACATTTTTGTTACTGTTGATGGCCACCTACATTGTTTCCAAAGCTCAACTATTATAACTTCTGCTGCTGTAAATCTGTGCATACAAGTATCACTATAGTTTAATGCATTTGACGGAATTCTATTTTTAGTTTTCTGAGGAAATTCTGTATTCATTTCCATGGTTGTATTTACTTGCATTTCAAACAACAATATAGAAGGATTCCATTTTCTCCACATACTTGCCAGTGTTTGTTGCTTTTTGTGTTCTTGAAGATAGCTATTCTAACCCGGGTAAGATGGCATCTCAAGGTTGTTTACATACACATTTCTCAAATGGCTAAATTTAATAAACGGTTTGCATGTACTTTTGGCCATTTGCACTTCTTTTGAGAACTGTCTCTTCAGTTCATTTGCCTATTTTACATTTATTCATTTGTTCGTGGGGGTAAATTTTGAGGTTTTTATATATTCTAGATATTAGTTATCATCAGAAGAGTACCTTGCAAAAATAGTCTCCTATTTTTTTCCATTAAGTTTATTGGTACCTTTCAGATATCCAATACAGTTACATTCAAACTTGTTCCCTTACATGATGCATCTTGGTTCTTATTCTTTCCCCATTCTCCTGCCCTCCCTTCAACCCCTCAACCCTTCCTTATTTACAAAGACTTTCTTTCCATTTTTTTGCTTTTCTTGTATTTTTTCCTCTTACCATTCCCCTACCCCTCCCACTTTCCCTATACCTTTAGACCTTTTCTTTCTATTTCCCCTTATTAATTATATATTTTGATCCTTATTTAAATTTTTAGTTTCTCACACCAGAGAAGTTAAACTATTTGGTATTTACACATGTGTGTCTTGTTCATTTCACTTAAGAGTATGGCCTCTATATGCGTTCAGTTAGCTATAACTGCCTCTAGTTTCTCATTCTCTATGGCTGAGTAGTACTCCATTTTGTTAACAAAAAACAAAAAGCAAGAAACTTCTTCATCCTGTCAACAGGTGGTGATAGGGTTTCTCTTTACTGTTGATTGTATCTTTTGCTGTGCAAATGCTTTTAGATTTTATGTAACCCTTTTGTGGGTTCTTGACATTATTTTCTCGGCTATTGGAGTTTTGTTCAGGAAGTCCTTGCTTGTGCTTCAAGTGGTTCCCCTATGTTGTTTACCAGCAGTTTCAAAGTTTCTGTTTTGAAATGCAGGCTTTTGATCCATTTTGATTTGATTTTAGTATGGAATGAGTGATATAAAATTGGTTTCACTCTTCTGCACATGGACAAGCAGTTTAAAAAGTATTGGAATTACTTCTCTAAAGTTATGGTAAAATTCAATTGGTCGCTCCATCAAGTCCTGGGTGATTCTTACTTGGTAGAATTTTGATTACTGCATCAATTTTATTGCGAGTTATTTGTCTGTTCAGGTTATACGTACATATATATTTATTATCTGTATGTAATCTTCTTGGTTCAACTTTGTCATATGTCTAGGAATTTGTTCATTTCTTTAAGATTGGTTGATTTATAGGGAAACTTTCAAAATACTTTCTGTAATCTAAATATCAGTTGTGTGTGTTGTAATTTCACCTTTTTATTTCTAATTTTATTGATATGGGTCTTATATTTATTTTGTTAGGTTTCACTAAGAATTCATCAAACATGAGAACGAAACCTTTGTTTTATTGATCCTTTGTATTTTATCTCAATTTTGTTAATTTCTACTCTCATTTGTGTAATTTCGTTCTTTCTATTAGTTTTGGGTTTAGACTTCTTGTTTTTCTAGGACCTTGAGATATATCATTGTTACTTATTTGGGCTCACACTCTTTTCCTATGTAGGTACTCATACTATACACTTATCTCAGAACTATTTTCATGAATCTTACAGATTCTGATTTGTTGTAATCCTTTTGTCATTCAATTCAATAAAAATTTACATTTCTTCCTTGATTTTTTTCTGTGATATACTTATAATTTCAAGAATACATTATTCAACCTATATGTGTTTGTGTTATTTCTGACATTTTTCTGCTCTTGATTTCATGATTTAGTTTTTGTAATAGGATGCAAGACATTATTTCAATATTTTTCTATTTCTAGGAAAATGCTTTATGGACTAAAATATAGTCTATTTTAGAGGAAGTTCCATGAACTATTGAAAAGAATGTGTCAAATCTATTTGTTCTATGGTGTAGTTGAACTCTGATATATTTTTATTGTGTTTTTGTCTTGTTGACCTATTTGTGATTGTGGGATATTAAAGTTGCCCACTTTGCCTACATTGCTGTGTAACTGCCTTTTATGTTCAGTAATCTTTATTTTGTGAAACTGAGTATCCTGACATTTAGGGCATTGTCTTTAGTTATCTCTTCTTGTTAAATTGATCCCTTTTCCAATATGTAGTGATTTCTTTCCCTCTTCTGATCAGCTGTGTCTTAAAATCAACTTTGCCAGACATTAGAATAGCTACTTCTACCTGCTCTCCAGCTCTCTAGAATATCATTTTTCATCTTTTCTTCAGTCTACCTGTGTTTTTATACATGAAGTTGTCTCTTGCAGGCATTAAATAATTGGATCTTGTTTCTTTTTTACCTAATCTGCCAATCTTTGACTTTTTGTGCCATTTATACTTAGTGTTATTATTGAAATGTATATACTGATTCCCATCGTCACATTGTTTTCTGAGGGGTTTGGTCCTTCAAGATTTTTTTAAAGTGGGGCCAACAGCAATTTAGTCAGAAAAATAGAGAAAGTGAGTGTATAATACCCACAATTATTTTTAAGGATATTTCTATTGATGAATTATTAATTATAATTTCATGAATTTTCTATAAAACAGGAAAAATTCACAAAAATAAAATATTGAATTTTATCATTTATTGGATATTTATAAAAGCATCAAAATTTCAACATTGGGTGGGGAATTTAGCTCAGTGGTTTTGCTGCCTGCCTTGCAAGTGCAAGGGCCTGATTTTGATCCCTGATATCCCCCCAAAAATAAATTTTCAACATTGACTGGTTTTTTAGTACAAAGTCTAAAAAATAACAAAAAATAAATTTCTATATGAACTACAATGAAAATACCAATAGCATTCTACAACAAAAATTGCTTCAGTTGTCACACCCAAGGCAATCTCCACACACAACTGCATTTTCCATACACATCTTGCTTACACTGACAGCATATGTGCTTAGCTTTCCTTTCTTGTGTGGCAGGCTGTTTTGTCACCTCTATTGCATTCATGTTTTATCAGGAGCTTCCTACTATGTTATACAACGTTCAATTAGGAGGAAAATAAGATACAAATAAAGTAAAATATCAAATATGTAATGAGTGCTTAGAATAGACATTAACACTTTCACATCAAACGTTTACTTGCTTACAAAACCTAAAAGATAACATAAGAAATAAAAATTTATTAGGGGAAGGGGAATAAGGGAAAAGAAAAAAAATGTGAGAAAATGAAAGAATGGAATTAAAGTGTTTGTAAATGGGGAGGGAAGAAGGGGGTGAAGGGAGGGTAGGGACAAGGGTAAAAAATGAGAACCAAGACCTGTCATGTAAAGATACAAGATCCCAGTAATGAATGTAACTGTACTGTATACCTAGAATGTACCAATAAACTCAATAAAAAAATAAAATGAAAACTTATGAGAACTACAGTGTAAATAAAAACAAAAGTCTACCAAAAAGCATAATTTCTGTTTTAAATGTCACACCCAAGACAGTCTTCACACATGAAAACTGCATGTTCCATCCACATGTGTCACTTACACTGATAGCACATAACTATTGTTATTCTGTTCTTTTTTTGTTGGGCACAGTTGACATCTTTTCTGTTTTCCTGTTGCTGTAATAGGTCTTTCTGATGTGTCACCTGCCCATTCACTTGCTAGCTCACCAGTGTACTCCACAATTATTTTCCACATTTCACCAAGCATAAACATCTTGTTTTTTCTCTGCTATAAATGATCTCTTAGATTCCAGGGACAGTCTACCAGGAATCCCTGAAATGTTACCAGAAACTTCTGCAGTAGGCTCTGGTCTTCTGCCTAGTGCATGATGCAGGCATGAGGAGGGGGAAAAAGAAAAACTAAAAAAACTTAGACAGAAATCAAAGTGCCAGGATGACCAATGCTGGTGCAACTGACAAGGCCAAGCCACTCATTTTTATTGGTGATCAATTGGGGTAAATGTGAGCTATGTGTGAGGGTAAAATGACATATAAAGATGCATGGGTGTATGATGTCTATGGAAATTAATGTAAGCAAGCCTTGTAAAGGACAAGACAAAGCATTCTCAAATTAGGAACAGAATAGACAAGATATATGCCTGTAGTTAGAACATGGTCCTTCTAATTCAGAAGGTTTTAGTCGGAATAGAATTTGGGTATGATTTACTCTAATTTCAGCATGTAGGCTTCATCTAGACTCACTAATATAAACAAGCCAGTTGTGGAGTTAACTCTTTGCAGCCTGCACCGCTTGGAACCTGCTTTAGGCATAATAAATATTGCTATCTCCCACACCAATCCTCTAGGTAAATTTCTCCTTGATATTTTGCAATTATTTTATTTGTAAACTATCAAACTATTCATGTCACACATGTTTTGGATATAGTAAAACACAATCATTGGCCAATACTTTGTGTTTCAAGTGACATAGTTGCCTCATAGCTGATCAACATCTACTCCACCTTTGGTTTTGTTGTAGAAAGTTACCATCTTAGGCTTCCATTTTGTCAAGATTTCCCTATCAACATTTCCATCATGTTGCAATGTTGACATCAGCAGTAACACTTTTTCTTTCTATGCTATATAAAAGGCTAATATTATTTCTTTCTGAAATCTAAAGATCGTACTAAACAATTCTGTTTTAAAATTGCAGTGCTTTATTTGGAGTTTCTACTTCATTCCTGTGTACAGTTTCTATGATGGTCAACTTGCTGTCTGTTAGCAAATGCAACATGAATTGGAAACTAGTAAACCAATTGTTGAATGTCACATTCTGATTAGTTTGTGAGATGGGAGCAACAAGTCTGTTCCCAACATCATTTAGTTTACTACCATTAAAAATAAGAATCTTGTGACTGAGTTCCAAGATATATTTCTAAATTGAATGTACAATAAGTCTTTGCATCAACATGGGCATAAATTCTTTGATCCATCAATTTTCCATTAGTCTTTTACATTCTTGCAATTACCATGAGAAATCCCTGCTAAGCACAGCAGACCTACGAATGCTTTGAGTTCAGCTAATGAGGTGCCATAATAAATACATTGTTTAGGGCTAGGAATTTAGCTCATTGGTTCTTCTATCTGCCTCACAAGCGCAAAGTTCCAAGTTTGATTTCCCATACCAAAAATAAATAAATAAATAAATACATTGTTTAGTATGGCTATTTTACTTTAGTACAGTATTTTACTTGTATGTCAGCCTCTGTGTATTTCACAATATCTTATAGCATTTCATGGGTTACAGTTTCCTATATTGAACAATAATGTTGGCATTCTGTCCAACAAATTTCACCCCTGACACGATCCTCACTATATTTGGATGTAATTCCAACATTGAATTGTTTCACAGGATTGCGTGAATATTTTGCATCATTTCAACTAGTCAAATATGCACTCACATTGCTACTTTCTTCATCTTCTGAATCAAGGAGGCCTGCATTCCCTGGGTCTGTATCAGTTGATTCTTGATCTATTTCACTATCACAGGAAATTTGGCTCACATGGCCATCATCACAGTTGTTTTCATCTTCATCATCCATACATGATCATCACTTTTGACCTCCTCTAAAACTTACAAATCTGGTTTATCATGTGCCATTGTTCTGAGTTTGGCTACCTTTCAAAGAAAAATAAAAACAAAACAAATTCTAAATCTACAGAAATTTAACAATAAACATTTCATGGCTAAAACTCACCTGTTGCTGCTTTAGAGCTCCTGTACACACCTTGCTATTCATCTGCCAAGTGGGTGAATGCACAGATGGGATTTTATTTTCCCCAGGTACAGCTATTGTGAGTCACACCCACATTCCATTATGATAAAATACAGGTACTCATAAGAGAAGAGTAGTGTGAATGTATTTTACCCGCTGTGATGCTTAGGTAAACATCCACAAAACCCATTAGATGGAGCATTCCGTGGGTACAAATCTTTGTTTGACACTGTTGCACACATGCACATACTTTGCTTTTTCATCATACCACGTGAATAAGTAGATTGCTTTCTATATTTCCCAGGTGCAGCTACTGAGACACACAGCCAACTACTGTTATACTAAAGTACAAATTTATAGTAGAAGAGTATGGGATGGGTTGTTGTAACCCAATATTATGTTCTAACTGTTAACTGAGCTTCAGTTTTTTTCCTTGGACTCTTGGATGCTGCTGTTACCCTTGCCTCTGTTTATGATATTTATGATTCTCTTCTACCATGCTGGTTTGTTTGTCATGAGTTTCATTAGTTTATCTTTGTTGTGAAAGGCCTTTCCCTCTCCATCAAACTTGAAGGACAACTTTGCAGAACATAATATTCTGGATTGGCTATTTTTTCTTTTAGGGGTTTAAAAAACTTCCCTCCAGCTTCTCCTGGACTGTAGAGTTTATGCTGGGAAAACTAGCATCTCTCTGATGAAGCCATCGTGGCCTTTTAGATACATTGGTGTTCTCCTCCAACTTCTCTTAATATTCTCTGTTCTGATTTTTGAATTATCATGTGTCACGGAGAGGATAGTGTTTCCTTCCTATTTGTGTCTATTGAGGGTTCACAATTTTAACTGGGTATCCATCTCATTCCCTTGACTTGGAATTAGTCTGCAGTAATTTTGGTGAATTTTTTTTTAATTTGTCTCTACCTCTACCCCTCCTCAAGCTTAATGATTCCTAATTTGTTCTTTTAAATTCATGGAGGAACTGCTGGATCAACTTGTTATTCTCTTGTTTTTTTCATTATTGCTGAGTATATGCACTGCTACATCAATTTTGTCCTAAATGTATTCTATTTTCTGACTGAGCTTGTTTTTTAATGATACTATCAAATTGAATTTTTATTTCTAAGATTCCAGCTTGATTTCTTTTCATAATCTCTATATCTTTACTGAAGTAGTCTTTCATAACTTAATTTCATTCCTTAATTAAATTGCTTATTTATATCCCTTTTAAGCTCTTTAATCATTTTAATAATTGATCAATGCATCTGCCTATTTGTCTATCATCTCATCAAACATTTTAATTATTAGTGGAATTTTATTCAGTTTGATGTTTGTCAAATCAGCTTTTTGGGAATTCTAAATTTTTGGTGGCATCTGGTTGCTGTGTTTTCTTGTCATTCTACTGTTTTTGTGATGAAAATTTTATGTCAATTGAGCTAGAAAGTGCTCCCACTACTGTGGAGATCTCTTCAGTAAATTGATTTCTGTCAGTAATCTGTCCTTAGCTTTGGATATGGTTCCCCAGCCCACTTACTCAACCTATACAAAGTACTAGTAAAGCAATATGGAATCAGAGCAACTACTTATAGCATCAACATCCAAAGAATTAAACATATATCAATATGTAATTTTAAATTTCTTTTAAAAAGAAGTACTCAGGAAAACCCAGCAACCCAGGAAAATGAAGGAATGGATAGTGGTGATTGAGAATAGGCTGCGAGATAGAAGAAAAAAAGTTTTGATATTATTTTTATACTTCACATAGAAGCAGGAGGGAGAGTTGTGTGGGGATGGAAAGAAAGATGAAAAGAGAAAGAAATACAAATGGAAAATGCAAAAGGCTTTATGGAGATTGAATCCATTTAATAAGGTAGAATAAATTCAATATTAAAAGACTCAAGGTGATACTTTTGGTGAGGGAGAACCTGACAAGTCAGTGCAAGATGCTATAGAATGACAATATTGACTTTTATATACAGTCACATATACACCTATGCCTTGCATATGCACTCTAAAAGAGAAAGAAGAGAAAAAAGGGTTGTAATGATAGAGTTTATATATAAGAAAAGAAGGGAAGAATAAAGGGATTTTGAGAAGGTATGACAGGGGAGGTAAAGAAAGAAGAGGTAGGAGGAGTTTAAACGGGAAGTGAAATGGGATGCAGTGAGACTGAGCCCACGAATGATCTAACAGAAACACTGGCTTAGCATGCCCTAAGAATTTTTTTTTCTCATTGAGTTTACTGGTACATTTTAGGTATACAGCACAGTTACATTCATCATTGCTCTCTTGTACCTTCACATGAGAGGTCTTGGTTCTCATTTATCCCCCTTGTCCCTGCCCTCAGCATACTGTAAGAATTAACCCCCGCTATGGGAGAACCTAATGTGACAGGTAATATATTATGGAAATAAAGGAATAACCTGCACTTGTAAATTCTTTCAGGAACATTTACAAACCTTCACCTTTTCAAAAAAAAAACATGAAAAAAATTTGACTCCCAATCTAGTATTCCTCCTTGTGATTAAATTTATACTGGAGTCTACCCTTATCTTTCGCCATGCACTAAATTAAAATCCAAATGGATTAAAGATCTAAATACTAAAACAGAAACATTAAACTTGCTGGAAGGTAAGTTAGGCAGAACTCTGGAAGACATTGGTATAGGAAAAGACTTTATGAACAAATCCTCAGTAGCACGGGAACTAGCAGAAAGAATCAACAACTGGGATCTCATCTTATTAAAAAGCTTCTGTACTTCAAAAGAAACCATTAGCAGAACTAAGAAACAATCTACAATGTGGGAAAAAATTTTTACCAGCTGTACCTCAGACAAAGGACTATTATCAAGGATATATAAAGAACTCAAAATAATCAGTACCCCCAAATATAAAGACCCGATCCAAAAATGGGCATCCAAAATGAACAGACATTTCTCATACAAAGAAGTAAAAGCAGCAAGAAAATATATGAAAAAATGTTCCACATCACTGGTCATTCGAGAGATGCAGATGAAAACAACACTGAGATTCCACCTCACCCCACAAAGAATGGCTGCTATCAAGAAATCACACAATAACAAATGTTGGCGGGGGTGTGGGGAGAAAGGAACCCTCCTCCATTGTTGGTGGGAGTGCAGACTAGTGCAACCACTATGGAAATCAATATGGAGATACCTCAAAGAGCTTGGACTGGAGGTTCCATTTGACCCAGCCATCCCTCTGCTGGGTATCTTTCCAAGAGAACTAAAAGAATCATATCACAGAGAAGTATGTGCACCCATGTTTATAGCGGCACAGTTTGTAATAGCTAAATCTTGGAAACAACCTATTTGCCCATCCGTTGGAAACTGGATAAAGAAGTTGTGGTTTTTCTATAAAATGGAATATTACTCAGCCATAAAGAGTGAGAGAATAGATTCATTCATAGGAAAATGGATACATATTGAAGATATACTCCTAAGTGAAATAAATGAGTCCCACATGTGTAAATACCAAATAGTTTCCCTGGTGTGAATATTCTGCAACAATGCATAAGATTCTAATAAGATTACTGACATTTAGAAATTTGAAGAAAGGCGCTAAAGGTGTAGGGAAGGTGTGATGCGTAGGGGAAGAACAAAAAGGGAAAAGAAAAAAATGTGAGAGAATGAAAAGATGAAAATAAAGTGTTTGTAGATGGGGAGGGGAGGAGGGGAGGGCAGACGTAAGGGGAAAAAATGAGAATCAAGACTTGCCATGTAAAGGTACATGATCCCAACAATGAATGTAACTGTACTGTATCCCTAAAATGTACCAATAAACTCAATAAAATTAAAAAAAAATTTATACTGGAATCTAAATTAGGTCAGATTATTCTTCTGCCTCAGTTTAAATAGGAGAGGACTTAGCTTGTAGGATATCCAGCCTCTCAACTCCATGGTTGTGGCTGGGAACATGGCTTGGTCAAGTAGTCAGATTAATTTCCAAGAACTCACTCAACTATTTTGTGTCTGGGAGTAATGAGGCTGGAGGATCCAAAGAGTTCTCAGTCTGCTGCTTGCACCCTCCACAGGCAGGTCTGGAATGTGGGCTAATTTGCACAAAATTTCAGTGCATTCATTTTTTTACTCCAAGTCCATACAAATAGATCAGCGTATGATGAGCACAATGAATGTGCGTGTTAGAAGCTACTGAGGCCTAGGCTTCTCTCAGCCCAGAACTCAGTCTCCTGTGATCCAGGGCCTGAGTTTGTCTCTTGCTCTCATTATTTTAATTTTACCATTATAACAATCACCTTTTTCCATAGCTCATTCTAATTTTTAGGGCTGATAGAATGTTTCTTCCTGTCCCTGTCATTCAGTGATAGTTGTGACTTAGGGTTATAGAAAATCTCAGTGAGGGAGTTACATAAAATGGCTTCCTCACCCCAGTCAGCTCAAGATTATATCCTCCTTGCTCTGCTGAGGCAAGAGGAAGAAGAAACTTCTAAGATGTCTTTCCTATCCAACCATTGTAGGGATAAAATGGAAGTTATCACTTCATTATTTTCAAATGACTTTAGTCAGACCTCTTATTTGCCTCAGCTGTCTCTGGTCTGATGCATATCCAGTATTTATTAGGTCTTTGTTTTATTGCTACATGGAAGGGCAAAACCCACTCTCACTCTGAGCTGCACATGTTCAGCACTGGAATGCATTGTTTCAGCTAATTTACTTATCCTTTTTGATAACCAGTATTTCCAGAATTTTGTCTGGCTGCTAGTTCCTTCAAAATGTATGCAGTTCCATGATTCTTGATATACCCTAATTTTCTCACAGAGCTGTGTCCCTGTTGCCTTTGAATTAGTATCCTGGAGCAATTTGTAAGGACAGGCTACTTCTAATCCACCATCTTCTGGTCTATAAAGAGCTTTAATGTTATAGATTAAATCAGTTCCTGGTTGCAGGGTGTTGACATTGCATTTCTATTCACTCTCGAATGGGTGGCTGTTTTTCAGGTCTTTGGCAACAGGAAGAAATTTTTCTTCACTTGTTTGTAGTGAATATCTCTATT